ACTTCTAAGAGATTGGTCAAAGAGAAAGTTTCAAAAAAGTAAAAATACATACAATGTGTTTGCTCTCCTGAATTTTCTGGAAAGATTTATAGAAGAGGAATTATTTCTCCTCCTCCTCTTTCTCCTAGTCCTCCTCCTCCTTCTTCTTCCTCCTGCTCCTTCTTCTTCTTCCTCTCCTCCTTCTCTTTCTTCTTACTCTTCCTTATTTGTTTATTTTTTTATTGTATTATTTTTTTTTCTTTCTTTTTTTTTTACAATTTATTTTATTTTAAAAATGCTTGTAAATCACTAGCCCACAAAATGTTTAGAAGCAGAGGAAACTATAGAAAGTAAGCACGTAGACTGCTTTTATTATTACACAGCTGTTAGTTGAATGAAAACAAATAATAGCTAGGAAGTTTTTAAATGATAGAAAAACTTTCTTGGGTAAGTTGTGACACAATTTTTTATGCATTCACACAATAAAGTGTGGTATTTTTGCACCAATTGTAAACATGGAATTCACAATGAAATTGGAGAACTGAAAAGTCAAGGGAGTCTCAATACATTCATTATTTAAAAATTTTAGACAAAAGAGCAGAGAATAGGAAAAAACCCAACATATACACCATGATAACAGTCCTTTTTTGATGATGATAACAGTCCTTTTTTAATGACTTCCAAGTTCCTCTTTCCTAAAAGCATTAAGACCCTTATTGTAGATTATGTATCATCTCCTCCTTGGCTATGAGGTGTGTAGTTTTGTTCACCAGAGACATCAGTGAGTTCAGTTTCTGAGACCAGTCATTTAATAAATTATTTGGATCCTTGGGTCTCTGGAAGTTGATAATTCCTGCCAACCTGTCTACTTTAGCAAAGATGGTTTTGTTAACAACTAGATTCGAGAGAAAAGCCTCTGACTCATCAACAGACAGATCCAGAAGTTGAGCCATCCTTTTCATTGTTATCCGAGTATAGTACTTGGCCATTATTCTAATATTGTGTTCAACAACTCTGTTCTTCAAGTCTTTCCACCTTTTTTCACCTTCTTCTGTAGAACCAAAAACATCAGTTGCAGGACTCTCCAGGGAACCTTTCCTTAATTCCATCCCATAGTCCTCAACAAGCGTGGACCAACGCATCAACTCCATTGTGGTAAAAAGCTTTAAAAGATCCTTGTATTTAGGAATTTCTTCTAACTTCTTGTCACTACTTATCCAGTGAACCAAATCTGACTGCTCATTGTCAAAAGGAGCCAGGATAACATAGAGAACAACGCTTTTCAGAGCCTGTTGCCACTTCTCACTTTCCGCCTGTATACAGGGAGTATCATATATTGCTCTATAGTGCTCCTTCTTCTTCTTCCTCTCCCCCTTCTCTTTCTTCTTACTCTTCCTTATTTGTTTATTTTTTTAAAAGGGAGTCTGATCATGTTGCCCCAAAATGACCTTGAACTTGTGATTCTCTTGCCTCCCCCTTCCAAATCCTTAGGCTGTAGAAACAAGCCATCATACCCAGCTCATTATTTCTTCTTATAAAAGATGAGTTATGCATCATTAATTTGTACAGCAAAAGAACAGGACAAAATTCAACATTCATTCATAATACACGCTCTCGGCAATGTTTGGGTAGAGAGAAGTTTGTCCTACTTGATAAATACTAACCATAAAACCTAGACCAAATATTATAATGATGAAAGACGGAGTGGTTTCTTGTCAAAATTTAGTACAGGACAAGGATGCCCAGTCTCTCTACTCTAATCCAACATGATACTAGATTCTCAGGCAGGGAAATAAGGTAAGAAAAGGATATTAAAGTAAAACAAGCATATTACAAAGAAAGGGTTTTTTTTTAATGCTCTTATTTGCGATTACACAATTGTCTCCTTAAAAATTTCAGGAGTTATACAAACTCCTAGAACTAATAATGGGAACCAGCAAAGTTATAGAATATCACATTGACATATAAAATCAACTGTACTTCTACAAACTAGCCATGAGTATATGGAAGATACAGGCAAATGCTATCCCATAATATCTTTTCCAATCACAGGCTGCAAAAAGCTGATGTAATAAGCCAAAGAAAATCTAAATAAATGGATAGAAATAGCATGCTTGTGGGCCAGAAGATTCAGGGTAAGGTCTAAATGTTTTCTGAAGTTGATATATAAGTTTCACATAATTATTGCAAAGTCCCACCAAGAACTCATGTGCATATATATTTCATATCTTTTGGAAATAAGATAAGCATCAATCTAAATCTCACACCATAAACAAAATGAACTCAAATTGATCATAGGTTTAAATATAAACGATTAGACTGTACAATTCTTGAAAGAATCACAGGAAAATGATTCAGGATGTAGAGCTTGATAAAGAATTCTTAGCCACAACACTAAAGCATAATATATAGAAGGGGAAAAGAAGATAAATTGGGTCCTCTTAAAATTGAGGTGTTTAACCTGCAAAAGACCTCTGTAACAATAGTGAAAATACTCTCTACAGATGGAGAACATGACAAAGACTAACATCTAGACTAATAGCAATCAAAAGTCAGCATCAAAAATACAGTGAGAGACCAGGCAAAAACTGAAAAACTGTTGCACCAGAGAGCATATAAACATAAGAGAAGCAAATCAAAACAAAATAACTCAGCTTCACGTTAGAGCATGTGCCAAACAGGCATGGGGCCCTGGCTTCCATCTGTAGCACCACAAAAATAAAAAGAAGAGAAAATCAAAAACCTTACAAAAGTATATACACTATCACTAACATTTAGTAAGTGTATATTAAGATCACTTTTCAGGAACAGGCATTGTGATACATACCTGTAATCCCACCTATTTGGAGGTGGACATAGGAAGATTGCAGATGGCAGGTTAAGGCATGACCCAGGCCAAAACACCCGTAAGACTGTATTTGAAAAATAAAGCAAAAAGAATGGGAGTATGTGGCTCAAATGGTTATGTCAAAAAAAAAAAAGAAAAGACCACTATGCCATTAAAAATGGTCAAACATTACTAGAAAATTTAAAATATACCATCTAAAAGAATTTGTTCTGAACTAGAAGCTAGGATTTTTTACCTGATTCAAAATATATTACAGTATTTAAAAAAGAGTAAATGGAGTATGTTAATTTCAAATATATTAACAAAAAAATCAATCTGGAACAAAATCATAGGTGATATAATTAAACATTAAAATGATATTTGAAAGTGCATTGTTCCAAAAATAAATAAATAAATATGTCTATAGAAGGAGATTAAGGTAAGAAAATATTGCACCAAAAATTATTTTGCTTATGCTATTTTTTTTCAGACAGGATCTCACTATGTAGCCAAGGCTGACCTTGAACTCATAATGCTCCCGCCTCAGCCTCCCAAATGCTGGGATTACAGGGATGCACCACCACACCCAGCTTGTTTATGCTGTTATTAAACAATGAAAATCTTTTTATAATTTTGGCTTTGTGTACTCAGATATATTTTTCAGAGAAACATGTAATTTTAGAAATAACTTTTGAAAATAAGTGTTTTAATCTACCAAAGAAATAAAGTTTAATTTTTCAGCCATTAAATACCAATATCAATAATTATAAAATTCAATTATTTTAATAGCCCCTGTTTCCACTCCATGTCATTCCGGTTTGAGCTAATGAATTTTTATCAATGTTACAAGACTGCAGTATGTATTAGAAAATCACATTAGAAAATAAAAGAGAAGCTAGTTGTTGTGGTACACACCTGTAATTCCAGCTACTCAGAAGATGGAGGTTGGAGGTCAGTCTGGGCAGAGTTAGTAAGACTCTCTCAAAAACAAAATACCCAACAAACAAAAAAGCTGGAGTCATGGCCCTGTGTTCAATCCCCAATATTGCACAAAAAAACAGACAAACAAAAAAACCAAAAGAGAGCTTATGAGAGCAAACCCACTGATTTCAGAATTTTGAGAGAAAATGAGTTAATGTTGTTTTCTTTCCAAATACACTATTGCCTATATGAATGTACACAGAGGAGGATGATAGACAGATATATTGGGTGGCTAGATGGATAGATGTGTGAGAGGGTAGATAGATAGATGGAACATAGATGATGATGACATAGGTAGATACATAGATAGATAGATGATAGATAGATAACTGATAGATAGATAGAACAATGATTGTGTAGGATGCATGCATGGAAATATGAACAAACTTATTTAAATCAGGATTCTAACTATTAAATCCAGTTTGTCTGTTGGCTTATTTATATTTTAACCCAGACTATTCTATGACATATCCAATCTTTTCACCTACCTCATCTCCTATTGCTGACTACTATGCTTCACTCAAAGAAAAAATTTTAGTTTCTCTGAACTTTCTATATGTATTAGAATTAAAACTCATTTAAAAGCAGCTGAATGAAGGTGTAATAAATTGATGATTTACAGTTGACTGTCTTGGCACAATTAAGGCTACAACATCCTATCAACTGGATTACATGACCTATGCTCTGGGACTACTGAATAATTTCTGATATTTTGTATTCTGTTCTTTCTAATGTACGTACATGAATAATAGATAACTCCCACCATTTACCTGAATGTCTGTGTAGACCATAAGTTCGTGAGGGTTGGAAAATTGTAGAAAACCATTTCCTATATTTTTCTGCTGAAGATTTCCCATGAGCCACGCTTGGTATCTTTATGACAGTTAGTGTGCTTTCTCAAGTGTGACCTGGTAGTGAAGATTTTTGAGGAGATGAACGAAGACCACAGGGTCTCTATCTTTTCATTCACTTCTTTCTCATGCAGCACTAACAGAGTACCTTGGCTACCACAGTACTCTAGCAGGCTGTCTGGGGATCCTTTGCACTTGACATGTTTTGAATGGAAATTTTCTGCTTTGCAACAAAGTTTTTTATATTTAAGTCCTCATGATATTTTTATGTGCATCTTTTTTGCTTTCTTTATGTATCACCTTTTGCTCTTAACAAATTTAATACATATTAACATTTGATTAATTCTTTGTTGTTTTTCCAGAAAAAAACTTATTCAAAACTATTACCCCAATATCTAGAAATGCATGTTATAGTGGAAAAAGCTTTGGTAAGTCAATTTTCTTTCTTAACTTCTTTCCTTTTCCCTCCCTCCCTTTCTCTCTCCATCTGTTCCTCCCTTTCTCTGTCCCTCCCACCCTCTTTAATTCTGTTCTCATAATGAGAATTTCATGCTAATTTCAAAGACATAATGGAGTTTTTCAGTATTTCCAAATAAAGATAATTATTTTTTGTGAATTAGATAAATCAACATGTAGCTTTTACATTCCATTGTGAGTGAAAGCTCAAACTATTCTAGAAAGTCCTACACATTGGGTCATCTATCCCCTAGCTCAGTCCAGGATTTTTTAACCTAACCCCCTAACAGTCTTGCCTTCCCTTTATCTGCTCCAGCCATTCTGGCCACTTTGTTTTCTTTGAACTCACAGTTTTTACCATCTCATATAAAGCATATTCATTGATACTTTGTGTTTTCCAAAAAGATTTTAACTCCTCAAGTTCTTTATTTGAATGTAATGTATTTTAATTTTTCCTAACTAAAATTTTACGTTAGTGATAGTCTCATTTTATGAGTTTTAAAAATGTGTACTAAAACATATGCTGGCATAATTTGTAGCAAAATAAACCTCTGGTCTTGAGTCTATATTAACTTTAAATTAGTAGCAATGGTTGTCTATTAATTGTCAGCCACAGACTAAGTCACTAGAAATTCTATCTTGAAGAATGCACTGCAATCTTTTATTTATACATTAAAGTAAATATACACAAAATAAAATGGGAGAATAGAGGAAGATGCAGGAATTGTTAAGGAAAAACTTCATAAGAAAGATTTTCAAGATGACTAGCTAAGGACTTAGCAGATGGGTACGACTATGGGACTCAGATGAAGGAGTCTCTGAAGGACAACTGTTGTGTTTATAAATGATGAGTGGCTTGATATAGCTAAAATATAGACAAAGCAAGGTTTGAGAGACAGGAGCTGGGAGAGCCATTAAATAATGCAATTCAATCAGAATCTAAGGCTGGAGCTTGTATTTGATCTCATATGTAGTGGGGAAATATTGATGAATTTACACAGAATAGGAAACAGAAGGAGTTAAAACTATAGATTCAGAAAGCAGTTAAAAGGGTATCCTGAGCTTCATGTTACTGGGGAAATGTAGATGATGAAGGATTTTGGGGAAGATTGGTAAGCAAAGTGTTAAGTAAGTTTCATGTTCAAGAGGCTTAAATCTGAAAGCTTATTCTATTTTCCTGTTGAAAGTTATTTGAGAATTTGCATAAAAACTTTAATGTAAACAGGCATAAAGAAAGGTTAATGACAAACATAGAGCATAGATTACAGATTAGCAAGAATAAAGCCACAGGAAACAGGAAAATATTGCTATTCTTGTTGCTTGAAGCTTTGCCAGTAGTACTAACGTGTTAGGTAGAAATTGATGTTAAGAAAAGAAGTAGAGAAAAATCTTTTGAACATTTCATTTGTTTGTAGAGGGTTAGCCTACATAAAATGAAGTGTACACCACTTTGACTTTTTGTATACGTATGCAACAAGATACTTATGTGTGTACCAGCTTTCAACATTCCAATCAACCTTCCCCACCTTGTAGCTCCATCAGTTGATGTTGCTACTTTGTATCATGGAAATGGAGGCCCAGGTTACATACTGTACCTACATTCTTTTGCTTAGCACAGTCTTTAAGATTAATTTATACTGTTTTCTTGCAATAATGGTTTATTCCTGTTAAACTAATGTGAAGAATACCACAGTTCAAAGCTGTAAACAATAAAATTGCTGTTAATAGTTTCATACATAGATTTTGGTAGACAATTTCTTGTGGATAGTCACCTAGGAGTAGAATTGTTATGTCTTGAGATTGCATACATACTAACTTTTATGAGATTGATGTACCGTTTCAAAAGCATTCTAGCAATTAGTTCTGTATCAGGAATGCACAAAAGGCCCAGAAGTTTCATCAACTCACAGAAAACTGGCACTGATGGTCTTGGCCATCCTGGCAGATAGATGGCGATAACATAACGTGGTTTCTATATGACCTGATGACTCATGCGCAGTTTCACACTGCTTTTGACCATTCAGATCTTCTCTTTAAGAATAAATATATGTCTTGCCCCCTTTTAACTTACTATTTTTCTTATTGCTATGTGAGAATTCCTTATATACCCAAAATATGAGTTCTCTCTCAGATAGCTGTATTAAAAATAGCTTATCCCAGTATGTGGTTTGTTTTTTAGCACAGATGACACAGTATCTGTTGATAGGCATACATTCTTAATTATAATAAATTTAAATCAAATTATGATTTTCCTTGCTACTTTTTATTTTCAGCTTAAGCAGTATTTTCTAGTTCTAAGGACAGAACTACTTTCACCTATATTTTATATTAGAATTTATTTTTCTTCACCATTTCAAATGTAGTTTTATGTACATGCTGTGAGGCAGGGGTTGGGGATTATTTTGTTTATGGAAAAGATATCTATTATCCTATTCAATTATTTTAGCAAGTTTTTTTAAAATGATGGTTTTCCTGCCTTGTATCACCAAGACACATTCACTATCTAAAAAATTGCTACCATTCAATTTTTAAAAATCCTAAAAAAATGAAATTTGTGTTTCAGTATGATTATATGGGATCTGAAATGATGGCTGTAACACAGAAGATTGCTCAGATTATTGGACTTGTCAACATTGTAAGTTTTTCATATTTCTAATTTTATGAAAAGCCATTGAAAATAGTTTACATTTTATTATCAAAAATTGACTTGAAATCTTTTAATTTATTACTCAAAATATGTAAATGAATTATTAAAAGTATTTTGTGTACAGTTTTAATTATTGATATTACTTGAAAAATATACTATAAATCTTATTTTTAGATGTTTGCCCAGTTCAAATTGACTGTTACACTGTCCTCCTTGGAACTGTGGTCAGATAAAGACCAAATTTCTACCAACGGGGATGCGGATGAAATATTACAAAGATTTTTGGCGTGGAAGCAGGACTCTCTTATACTATGGCCCCATGACATAACACACTTACTTATGTAAGCACAATGTTCTGCACAAATAAAGAAATATGCATAAATAATTCTATCAAATTGGTAAATTAACATATTTATTATGTTCTTCCATTTTCAGTAGGACCTTTTGAAAATGTTTACACACACACATATACATATGTATACGGTTTTTGCTATGGAAGTGATAGTGTAGTTGGAAATAAAAATAAAAGCAGAAATAATTTTATATCAATACATTTTAAAAGATAATTAATGTGAAAACCCTGCAAATCATGATCAGTTATGATATTCACTTTTCTATAGAATACATAGAACTCTGAACTTATTAATGATATAAAAATTGACACTATTAATTATGATATAATGTATTTGATGAGTTTTTTTTTACTAGCAGGGATTTGGTTTTTGTTCTTTTGCTTTTGGTAATAACTTAATTTTAAGTGGTCTTATCTTTAGAGCAAATAAGATTGCTTCTTTTACAAACTAAAATTTTTTTCTTTTTAACCTTTACTGACCTAGGAGTGAATGCACAATAAGGGAAATTAAGTTGAATTTGAGATAATAGAATTGTATCAAATCTGAAAGTTAGCTAAGGAAAGTTAGTTGGTATTAAAATGAACTATAATTTTCAATAATTTGGACATTTTGTATAATTTATTAGATATTATCCAGATTGGAGCTTTGTATGCTTGAAAGTAGTTTTCCAAATTTAGATTTAACTTAATATATTTGTAAGCTGTTCACAATAATTACTTTAATAAAAACGCAATGCTGTAATGATGTAGTTACAGGAAAGATCCTAAATATGTGGTAGCAACACTGACTGGAACAATATGCAGCAAAAACTATGATGCAGTCATTGCTGTGGTATGCAATTTTTATTCTTCATTATATTACTATTTTTAAAACCTTATATTAAATCTTACATCATTAATTTAGCAATTAAATATTTCATAACAACTTGATTTTTCTGTATGCCTATAGTCATTATTCTTCTGTTAGAACAAAATTATTAGAATCTATAAGGTTTATTTAATTATAAATTTCAGACATAAGACATATAATACAAACATTAGGATACCTATTCACCAACTTGTCATAATGTTCACTAAGATAGCCTCAAGATTTTAAGTAAATCAAACATTAGATAGAGTTCAGGAAATTGCAAAAATAATGAGTTTGTGCTTTCCATTTTATACACACTTTATGCTATTTGTACAAATTTTTATATTCATAAACTATATATTATGTTTCTGTGTATTGTCCTTATTTTATATATCATTTTAGAACTTTTGAACAATTTCTTAAAGGATATATACACATTGAAACCACTCCAGGGTGATACTTTGTCTTCTGATCCAACTTTAACAATAAATACAACTATTTAGACATTTTATAAATTTATAAAATACAAATTGCATTACAAACTTATACAAAATATTTTATGTCAGGTCCCACCCTCTGAAGCTTTCCTCATTAAAAGATGTTTTGCCTGTGCTTTACTCGAAGCCATCTTTTGACTTTATTGGAAAATGTATACACGAGAATTGTCAAGTCACGTGTATAGTTACTTTGTTTCCCAGTCAAATAGAGTGACAACACAGCAAAGACCAGAGCACATCCTGCACCTCATGTTGCTGCAATTACTCTTTCCTCCCACTTACGTGTCCTTCATGGGACGCACTGTGTCCGTTTTAGTCTTTTTTTGAACTTTCAGCTCAATGGCAACACCTTGTGTGTTGATGTATCTCCCAGTGTTGCACGATTAATTTCGTGGAAAAGTTTCATGTTCTTATGTATTAGAAATGTCTGTATTGTTTCACTCTGTATTTCTACATGCAGTGTATTCAAGTGTAAAATTGTTGGAGTTGGAATATTTTACCATCCCAATAGCTAATCATATCTACTCTGTAATTTTTTCAGTTAAACAATCTTAATTGTCTATTTTATTTTATTTGTTGTGCTGGATGGGGGTCAACTATGACCTACTGATCATGGAACAATGTGTTATTCAGTTTCCAGGTGTTCTTTTGTTGTTGAGTTCTAGTTTTATTGCATTGTGGTCAGACAGTGTGCAGGGGATTATTTCAATTTTCTTATATTTGTTAAGAGTTGTTTTGTGACCTACAATATGGTCTATTTTGGAGAAAGTTTCATGGTCTGCTAAGAAGAATGTGTATTGTGCTTTACAAGATGGAATACTCTGTAGATGTTTGTCAGGTCCATTTGATCTATGGTGTCATTCAATTGTAGAGTTTCCTTGTTGATTTTTTGTCTTGGTGATCTACCTGTTGGTGATAGAGGAGTACTAAATTCTCCTACAACCCCTGTGTTGGGGTCTATCGTGTTTTTAAATCCAGTAGTGTATTTTTAATGAAGTTGAGTGCACTGACATTGGGTGCATATAAGTTAACAATTGTCATTTCCTCTTGATGTATTGCTCCTTTTATGGTATGAAGTAACCTTCTTTGTCTGTTCTGATTAATATGGCTTGAAGTCTACTTTATCTGATATAAGTATTGCTATTCCTGTCTGTTTTCAGGGACCATTGGCTTGGTAAACCTTCTCCCACCATTTCACCCTAAGTCAATGTTTGCTTCTGTCTGTAGGGTAGGTTTCTTATAAAGAACAGATTTTCAGGGCTTCCTTTTTAATCTAGTTTACCAATCTGTGTCTTTTGATGTAGGAGTTGAGTCCATTAACATTCAGTGTTAGTATTGAGAGGTATGTAGTGATTCCTGCCATTTAGTTGTTTTTGTTGTGTAAGGGTTTGTGTGTGTGCAACTAATTCTATGCTACTCCCTGATTATTTGTCTGCTCTTCTCTTGACGTTTAATAATTCCCATCATTTCATGATATGTTTGTTTTCATCTTTGGTGTGTAGGATTCCTTTCATAATCTTCTGTAGTGGCTTAGTGGTCATGTATTGAATTGTTTTCTTATCTATAGCCCAAATAGTAAACAAATATTAAATTGCTTTGATTATATAAGGTTTAATTCTTGCCAACTTTAACATTTGCATCACATTGGTTATTGATGATAAATTTTATAATTTATAAAATTATAAATTGCTTCTGCTTTTCTACATATCTTACAAATTCCTCCTTTTCTACTCTAAGTCATTCTGTAGACTTGTCTTTTTTTTTTGCCAATCTATACTACACTGCTACATATCTATGGGTTGAAAACATTTAATCTTGTGTTCTTGGAATATATATATATTCCTTTTTCATGGTTTGCTAACTCATTTTGATAGAACACATGTTCTTATAATTTACTGAGAATATAATGGGAAACATATTGTATGGGATCCATATGAGAGATTCCTAGAAGTTTAAAATCTCCTCCATTGTCTTTTTACTTCCCTTTAGAGACTCAAGGCCATTCTTATTGTGACTTGCTTGCTCTCTCTATAGAAATACTGAAGAACTTTTTATCCTTACCTTTGTCTTTTGTTATCCAATATGCTGGCTTCATTGAGGCCCTATCTATGTGGATATCAATTAATTTCTTAGTTGAGAAATTTTACTGTATTACTTTTTGTTTCTATTTACTCTCTAGTCCCTTTAATTATATGTTAGCATTTTAGATGGCTTTCATTCATCATTTACTATCTTTCCTGTTATTTTAATTTTTTGTTTTATTTTACACCCACTTGTGTATATTGTATTTTACGTATTTTGTATATTGTATTTTGTGTATTGTGGTTATATTTCCTATGCTTCTCTGCCTCTGGCTTTTGTGTATGCTCAGCAAATGTGGATGATGGAGTGCAAAGGGGGAAGGTGGGGTATCACTACATCCTGGCCCTGGTGGGAGTACTGGTTCTGAGCTACTGCCTCCTGCCACTGTGAAACAGCTCCTCCACCTGTGGGTCCCATTCCTTCCAACAGCACTTGCTTGTGGTTGCAACCATAGTTCCCACTCATATATTCATCTGTCTCCTGGTGTTAGAAGCAATATTCTGCTTTTCTACTGTCAAAGTTACTTCATCGTCCTTTGCTTCTTCATCAATCATTTGTAACCTGTTAACCAGTTACTTTTATTCAATTCTTTTTTTTTTGGATTTTTTGGTGGCTTTAAAATAATTGTTTTTGTCTTGTAACCATGAAACATATATAATTGAGGACCATGCTGTGAATTTTTTGTTCAATGATTCCTGCAGAATTTTAAAAGTGGAAGTAATCTACTATTTTTTAACAGGAATTAATTGGGAAAGACTGCATTCTAAGAGTTAGGGAGGTTGGTGTTGTTGCATGAACAAAGATGAATGTGGTCAGTGTGAAGTCCCAAGTCCCCACACAATGTTTTTGGCTACTAAAGCAGGCTGTCCTAATCTGTTCAATGAGGCAAGCCTTCTCATTTCTCTTACTTAACAGTCCTTGTAATGTAGTGTCTTTTCACTTCAAGATCTATCCTAAAGACTGGCAAGTGTTTTATTGTCATTGCTGTTGTTTGGAAAGGGCCAGGTAGTAAGTGTTTGGTGGGCCATTTAATCTCTGTCACAACTCCTCAGTTTTGCCATTGTAATGGAAACATCAACTATGTTCCAACAAAATATTATTTATGAATATCAACACTTGAATTTCATGCAGATTTCATGTATCATACATCATTTTTCTCATGACCTTTACTTGTTGTTTCATAAGAAATATTATGTGTTCAAAACTACAGAATCTATGCATATAAATTGTGAACACTTAAGTAGGACTACTTTTTACACGGGTTCATGCAACTTAATTAAATTAGTAAATTAGCAGAGATATACATATCACAGTAAATTATGAAGCATGCTCAACATAAAAAGAAATAAAATATAAAATTGTATAGAAGCAAAAATGATTCAAGTTACTGTTTCTTTTGTTTTCTTCTTATATAATTTTTTCCCTCAATTTTGTTTATTTTAGTATCCAGATGATATAGGTTTGGAGGGATTTTCAGTCATGATAGCTCAAGTGGTTGGCCTTAACATGGGATTAACATATGATGACATCGGTAATTGTTCTTGTCCAACGGCTACATGCATAATGCAGCAGGAAGCAGTGTAAGGGATTTTCATAATTTATTTCACATATATTTTTATAGGTTGTTTCCAAGATGTGATGAACTTTTTAACCTTTTATAGTCATCTCCATATCATAAGTTTGAAAGGTGTACCATGCTTGAAAAGATAACACACAAAGCATTCTCTATGTGATTTAAGAAAGTGGAGGTATTTTATAGATGGGAGACATACAATCTGTAGATGGATGCAAATAAAGAGAAAGGGGAAAGATGACATTAGATAAAAGGAAAATTGTGGAGGATGAGACCACAGTGCATAAGTAGGGGACTAGCTTTTATTAGAAGTTGATATATTTAATAATCATGATGGGAGGTTAGAAGAGTAAAATGTAGGGAGGTTTGGACTTTGAGTAATGGAGGTGCAAAGATAGGAAGCTGAGAGCAAGGAATATGAACTCTTTGAGAGAAGGCATGAAACAGTGGTCTTAGAAAGTGGAAATTAGAAATGGTTCAGGATGGTTGAAACTTAATGTGAATTTAAATAGCATAGATGCTTGTTTTGGTTTTTTAATGTCAGCTTCTGACTTCCATATGCTAAGAAGGGCTGAGGTTTTGCCAAGTTAATAGCATGGATTCAGAAAGAGGGCTGTAATGAAATCTGTGTTCTCTGAAATAACTAGGTTTTATTTTTACTTCCCCAATCTTGGAAATTTGGATGAGAATTCAATGTATTTTGAGACAACTGCCCTAGCTCACATTTCTTCCATTGTCTTCTAGACCAGGAGGATAGTCTTCACCATAGAAAGTGCACCAATGCACATTTCTTTTCAATTATCTTGTGTTTATCAAAAGTCAAGTAGCTATGGGTCAAGTATGTGTGTGTGGTCAGAAAGCATAATGACTGTCCATCAACAACAGACCACGTATTTACATAGTCCCATAAGATTATATAGCCTAGGAATGTTACAGCTGTCTTAGTTTGTATAAGATCACTTTATGATATTTGCACAATGTCAAAATTATCTGGCAATGAATTTCTTAAAACAGATCCCAATTGTTAAGTGATGTACGACCATAATATTTTGTCCATCCATTCACAGTACATTTGTGTCTCAGTCCATCTTCTGTTGCAAATAGCACAGTACCACACCAGAGACAGTATATGTTATACAGAAAAGAAGTTTGTTCGTTTTGACTCATAATTCTAGTCCAAGGTTGAGGGGCCACATCTGTGGGTGTCCTTTCTCCTGGCAGATTCCTGAGCATTGTGGGTCATCCCATGGCTGGAGACATGGAATGTGTGTTTGTGTCTCCTCTGGTCTCTCTTACTTGGTTACTAAAGCTGCCAGTACTGAGTCATGTTGGCTGCACTCTAGTGACATTATCTAATCTTAATCACTGCCCAAAGGGGCACTTCTAGTCAGATTAAATTGCCATCCACTTAACAATGAAGATTTAACCATCATGAGTTTCTTAGAATAGAAATCATATTCGAACCATATCAGTTTGTAAGAAATGCATTCTCTTGGAGAGTGTTAGAGTAAGCAATATTAAAATTAAAATTTAATTATGGTTGATTTAATCTCTGCTAAAGTATAACTTTTTTATTTGAGCCATCTCATGATTCATATAATTTCTGTATAGAGTATTGTTTAGATGTGGTCTTTTTAAAAAGGTTTATTTATCTGAGGAATTTTATTTCATTTTAGGAGTTCCAGTGGCGTAAAGATTTTTAGCAACTGTAGCATGCATGACTACAAGCTTTTCATTTCAAACTTTGAGGCTAAATGTCTTCATAACTTTTCAAGTTTGCAAACATTGTATCAAAATCAATCAGTGTGTGGAAATGGGATTTTGGAACCTAATGAAGAATGTGACTGTGGGAAGGAAAAGGTAAGTGGTAAGGAAAAGGTGGGTAATAAGCATTGAAGTTTGAGCACAATTTTTGCAGCTCTAACACACATAAAGCACAATTGTCATGATGTATATGGGATAATTCTTCAATTTATAACTGAGATATGGAAATGATAATAAATTAAAATAAGTGAATCACTTTCCATACCTCTAGAGAAGACAAGTGGTCATCAGTTTGCATCACTGTTGTAATATAACTAAAAATTAAGGAAAAATGCTCAGAAATGACAGGTGCTAGCAGCTACAAAAGGAAAACCACATCCATTGCCAAATTTCCACATCTCAGCCAGTTCTCAGAGCCACAGCTCTGTTTTGAAATAGAGAACAGAATCCTACAACACCCCCACAAGGATTAAAAAGTAGCTATTTCTTCAAGCATCCCGTCCAAGGTGGTCTACATTGTTTTATAGAGTAACTTCGTACAACAGAATAGGAAATATTCAGATCATTGCAGGACAATTGGATACAAAATCAGAGGACCCAAAACACCACCATCCTCAATAGGTGCAATACAGAAAATCCAGGAGATTCCTGGAAGTCTTGCAAAAATCCATCTGAATGTGCATCACATGGATTTATTATCTAATCTATTGTCATTTCTCAGGTCTTTCAGTGATGTATCTGGGCAGAAACACTTAGATACACTTTCTAGTTATATACATCAAACAGTATCACCAACTAGAGCTCTCTTAGTCACAAGGTCACAACCATTAACTTTCCATTACATGAACTACATTCACCTTGACTACTATGGACAAATGCTTCCACTTGTCCTCTTCTATTCTGGAATCCAATGTTCCAAGGGATAATCTGGAATCCAATGATCAAGGAGACCAAGTGCATTATGATACTGCAATGATCAACCTTAATCTATGGGAGAAATCTACCACTGAGATTTTTAACAATGTTGCATGCAACCCATTGAGGTGCCACTGCTCTGAAGCTGGCAGATCTTCACTTTGGCCCCATAACCTATGCATTAAGAGGAATAAGAGGAATAAGGAAATGCAAATACCTGAAATTACCAGTGTAGAAATTAAGAAACACTAATATACTCTGAATGAAGAGATCAACAGAGAAATTAGAAAGTAATTTAAACTACAGGAAAGTGAAACGAAATTATAACCACGACACAACAAAAGTACTCTGCACAGAATCTACGTTAACAGTTGTGACAACAGAGGCTTCCACACCATCAAGGTTAGCACACACTTTGTATCTAATTGTTTTGTGAACAAATGTAAGTACTTGTAAAATTTTTAAAAAAGGGAAGAGATCCAAGATGTGACTGGGACACAGCTGCGCCCCTAGCTCGTGGAAGGCTTCTCCACACCATGATATACTAAAAGAATAGCCAGTGCTGCATGGTAAGCCCCACCCCATAGGCCCACGGGAGCTGCTGCTCTGCAGGCCATGGGATCTCCAGTCCTCTGGCTCTGCTCCTCAGCCATGCCAGGGCTAGGCTACCGCAAACTCTCACCCCTCAGACCCACACGAACCCTGCCAGACTGAGCCCCTAAAGCCTGCCAAGCTGGCAGTCCACAGACACTCACGATCTCCACTCCACCAGACCTGTGCCCTTCAGGCAAGCCAGGCCCACGTTCCAAGGGCCTGCTAATTCACCTCAAGGAGGGGCCTCCACCCATAGGTCCATGGGACCCCACCCACCAGCCACCCACCACAAGAGGCCTCCAAGCCTGCCTGAGAGACACACACAGACAGATCTGGATGCTAAAGGAGTAACATCAGAACAACCAAGACTGCAATTCTAAGTTCCAGAACTGGCGATTTTTTTTTCTTTTTTTTTCACCTTCTTTAAGGGTTTTTCTGCCTGGTTTGCTGTTTGATCACCTACCATCTCTCTCATTTATTTTTCCTCCTCTCTTCTCTCTTCCTTTTCTCATTCCATCTGTTTTCTTTTTTATCCTGCTCTCTTGGTTTTGTTAGTATTAACATTGTAACCCAGCTAATACTAAATTACACATAGTTCAGGGACAGAATGGTACCTAGTGGACACATGGAAAGAAGAAAAAAGGGATGGAACCATTCTCCCCCCCAAAATAAAGTAGTACAGGATTTAGAGGATACCTAGATCCAGACTCCAACAAAACAAAGATAAACTATACCAAGGAACCCAATGAAGCCCACAAGAAAATCCTGAAAGAAGAAATTCTACAAGTAATAAATGAGAATTTCATAGAGATGATACTAGACATGGTCAACAATGTACAAGAGGCACTCAAGAAATTCCAAGACAACAAAAATAAAGAATATGAGAAAACACAAAAACAAGTGAATGAAATCAGAGGAGCCCTAAATAAATACCAAACTGAAACAGAGATCACCATAAACAGAGAGATAAATGAATTAAGGGCAAAAATTGACAATATTAAAGAGGAAGTAACCCACAATATGAAAAATCTCAGAAAAAAGAATGAAACAGAAATACAAAACAAAATGGAGAGTCATTCCAGAAGAATAGAACAAACAGAAGACAGAACCTCAGAACTTGAAGATGAAATAGAAATTAAAGGAAAAACTGAAGAACTATTAGTTAAACAACTCAAGACCTGTGAAAAGAAAATGCAAGAACTCACTGACGCCATCAAAAGACCAAACCTGAGAATCATGGGCATTGAAGAAGGCAAAGATGTGCAAGCAAAAGGAATGCATAATATATTCAACAAAATAATAACAGAAAATTTCCCAAATCTATAGAAAACTATGCCCATTCATGTACAGGAAGCCTCAAGAACACGAAACAGAGCTGACCAAAATAGAGCTACCCCATGACATATTAACATTAAAAAAACAAATACAGAGACTATAGAAGGAATATTGAAGGCTGTAAGAGAGAAAAACAAATAACATACAAAGGTAAACCCATCAAAATCACAGCAGACTTCACAACAGAAACATTAAAAGCAAGAAGAGCATGGAGTGAGGTCTTCCAAGCACTGAATGAAAATAACTTCAACCCTAGGATATTCTACTCAGCAAAACTATCATTCAAAATAGAAGGAACAATAAAAGTCTTCCATGATAAGCAGAAACTAAAACAATATATGACCACCAAGCCACCACTACAAAAGATTCTCTAAGGAATTCTGCACACAGAAAATGAAAACAAACAAAACCATGAAAGGGCAGGCAATACCAAACCACAAGAGAAAAAAAGGCAAGAAAGTAGAGAGTAACATTGATTCAACTGCACACAATCAAACCCTTAATCAACAAAACAACTATATGACCACATACCTATCAATACTAACACTGACTGTTAATGGACTAAATTCCCCCATCAAAAGACACCATTTAGCAAATTGGATTAAAAAGGAAGATCCAATAATCTGCTGCCTACAGGAGACCCACCTCATCGACAGAAATAAGCACTGGCTGAGAGTGAAAGGTTGGGAGAAGATTTACCAAGCCAATGGGTCCTTAAAAACAGGCAGGGGTAGCAATACTTATCTCGGACAAAGTAGATTTCAAACCTACATTGATCAAATGAGATAAAGAAGGACACTCCATACTAATAAAAGGGGAAATACACCAAAAAGAAATGGCAATTATCAACCTATATGCTCCCAATGTCAATGCACCCAATTTCATCAAACATACTCTCAAGGACCTAAAAATACATATAAACTCCAACATAGTGGTAGTGGGAGACCTTGATACCCCTAACCCCAATAGATAGGTCATCCAAACAAAAAAATCAATAAAGAAATTCTAGAACTAAATCACAACATAGACCAAATGGACCTAGCTGATGTCTACAGAATATTTCATCCAAGTTCTGAACAATATACATTCTTCTCAGCAGCTCATGGAACCTTCTCCAAAATTGATCATATCTTAGGGCACAAAGGAAGCCTCAGCAATATAAGAAAATAGGAATAATCCCATGCATTCTGTCTGACTACAATGCATTAAAACTAGAACTCAACAACAAAAACAGCAGTAAAAAAAATACAAACAATTGGAAGCTGAACAACACATTGCTCAATGATCAATAGGTCATTGATGAAATAAAAGAAGAAATTAAAAGGTGCTTGGAAGTTAATGAAAATGAAAACATGACCTACCAGAACCTATGGGACATAGCAAAGGCAGTCTTAAGAGGAAAGTTTATAGCCATGAGTGCATATATTAAAAGGACAGAAAGAGCTCAAATCAATGACCTAATACTACAGCTCAAACTCCTAGAAAAACAAGAACAAGGAAATCCCAAAATAAGCAGAAAGAAAGAAATAATTAAAATAAGGGCTGAAATCAATGAAAGAGAAATAAAAAAAACATACAAAGAATCAATGACACAAAAAGCTGGTTCTTTGAAAAAATAAATAAGATTGACAGACCCCTGGCAAACCTGAATAAAATGAGGAGAGAAAAAACCCAAATCAGTAAAATCAGAAATGCAAAATGGGAGGCAACAAACACCACGGAAATCCAGGAAATCATAGAGATTACTTTGAGAGCCTGTACTCTAATAAATTTGAAAATCTTGAAGAAATGGACAGATTTCTAGAAACTTACAACCACCCAAAACTGAACCAAGAGGACATTAATCACCTGAATAGATCTATAACACAAAAAGAAATTGAAGCAGCAATAAAGAGTCTCCTGAAAAAGAAAAGTCCAGAACCTGATGGATTCACTGCTGAATTCTACCGGACGTTTAAAGAAGAAGCAGTACTAACTCTCCTTAAACTGTTCCACAAAATAGAAAGGAAAGGAAAACTGCCTAACTCATTTTATGAAGCCAATATTATTCTCATCCCAAAACCAAAGACACTTCCAAAAAGGAGAACTACAGACCAATTAGCTTAATGAATATCGATGCAAATATCTTCAATAAAATAATGGCAAACTGAATCCAACAACACATCAGAAAGATCAAACACCATGACCAAGTCAGCTTCATCCCAGGGATGCAGGGGTGGTTCAACATACACAAATCTATAAATGTAATACAGCACATCAATAGAAGCAAAGACAAAAACCACTTGATCATCAATAGATGCAGAAAAAAATCCTTCAACACCATCCAGCACCACTTCATGATAAAAGCTCTAAGAAAACTAGGAATAGAAGGAATGTACCTTAACATTGTAAAGGCTGTATATGACAAACCTGCAGCCAACATCATACTTAATGGTGAAAAACTGAACCCATTTCCCCTAAAATCAGGAATGAGACAAGGATGCCCACTATCCCCACTCCTATTCAACATAGTACTGGAATTACTAGCCAGAGCAATTAGGCAAGAAGAAGAAATAAAAGGAATACAAATAGGTAAAGAAACTGACAAAATATCTTTATTTGCAGATGATATGATCCTATACCTTAAAGACCCAAAAAACTCTACCCAAAAACTCTTAGACACCATAAACAGGTATGGTAAGGTGGCAGGATACAAAATCAACTTACAAAAATCATTAGCTTTTCTATACACCAAAAACGAACAAACTGAGTAGGAATATATGAAAACAATTCCATTTTGCAATAGCCTCAAAAAAAAAAAAAGCAAATACCTAGGAGTAAACTTAACAAAGGATGTGAATGACCTCTACAAGGAGAACTACAAACCCTTGAAGAAAGAGATCAAGGAAGACTACAGAAGGTGGACAGATCTCCCATGCTCATGGAATGGTAGAATCAACATAGTAAAAATGGCTATACTACCGAAAGCAATCTACATGTTTAATGCAATTCCCATCAAAAATCCCAGTGACTTTCATCACAGAGATTGAAAAATCTACCCTAAAGTTCATTTGGAAACACAAAAGACCATGACTAGGCAAGGCAATGCTGAGCAAAAAGAGAAATGCTAGAGGTATCACAATACCTGACTTCAAACTGTATTACAAAGCAACAGTAATAAAAACAGCATGGTACTGGCACAAAAACAGTCATGAAGACCAGTGGAACAGAATAGAGGACCCAGATATGAATCCACACAACTATACCCACCTCATTTTTGACAAAGGTGCCAAAAATATACAATTGAGAAAATATAGCCTCTTTAACAAATATTGCTGGGAAAAGTAGTTACCCATCTGCAAGAAACTGAAACTAGATCCATGTCTATCACCCTGTACTAGTATCAACTCAAAATGGATCAAGGACCTATATATCAGACCTAAAACTCTGAAGTTAGTACAGGAAGGAGCAGGAAACACTCTGGAACAAATAGGTATAGGCAAAGACTTCCTCAATAGAACCCCAGCAGCCCAGCAACTAAGAGAAAGGATGGACAAATGGTACCTCATAAAATTAAAAAACTTCTACACAGCAAAAAAATGGTCTCTAAACTGAAGAGACCACCCACAGAGTGGGAAAAAATATTTGCCAGCTACACATCAAACAAGGGACTAATAACCAGAATGTACAGGGAACTCAAAAAACTAAACTCTCCCCAAATCAATGAACCAATAAAGAATTGGGCAACTGAACTAAACAGAACTTTTTCAAAAGAAAAAATTCAAATGGCAAAAAAACACATGAAAAAATGCTCACCATCTCTAGCCATAAAAGAAGTGCAAATCAAAACCTCACTAAGATTCCACTTCTCCCTTGTTAGAATAGCCATCATGAAAACACCATGAACAACAGGTGTTGGCGAGATGTAGGGGAAAAAGGAACCCTAGTACACTGCTGGTGGGAATTCAAGCTGGTGCAACTACTGTGGAAAAAAATCTGGAGGCTTCTTAAAAATCTAAACATAGACCTGCCATATGATCCAGCAATCCCACTCCTGGGGCTATAAGCAAAGGAATGCAACACAAGTTACTCCGGAGGCACCTGTACACCCATGCTTATTGCAGTCCTATTCACAATAGCTAAGTTATGGAAACAACCAAGATGCCCCATTACTGATGAATGGATCAAGAAAATGTGGTACTTGTACACAATGGAATTTTACTCAGCCATGAAGAAGAATGAAATCTTATCATTTTCAGGTAAATGGATGGAACTGGAAAGCATCAGTCTGAGTGCAGTCAACCAGGCTCAGAAGACCAAAAATCATATATTCTCCCTCATATGCAGACTTTAGATCTAGGACAAATGCAGCAATGTGGTTGGACTTGGATCACATGACAAGGGAAGAGCACATACTGGAGAAATAGGAATAGGTAGAAAACCCCAAACATGAAAGTGTTTGATGTCCCCACTCCAAAGAAACTAATACAGAAACCTTAGAGTGACAGAGGTCAACATGAGAAGGGGATTGGGAACCAGTGTAAAGATCAGTTAGAGATGAATCAACTTGGGTGGTAACACATGGGTACACAGAAGCAATGTTAGGAATCTCTCTGTATAGCTATCCTTAACTCAACTAGCAAAAACCCTTTGTCTTTCTTATTATGCTTGTGTCTTTTCTTCAACAAAATTGGTGATAAGGGTGAACAGGTTCTGCCTGGAAGTGAGGGGGTAAAAAGGGGGAGACAGGGTGGAGAAGGTGGGCAGGATGGAGAAATGACCCAAACAATGTATGCACATGTGAATAAATTAATAAAAAATATTTTTAAAAGGGAAGCCACTGCTAACACTACTAAAGGAAAACTGAGCACATAAATACACATTAAAGATTTTTATTAGACTGCTTCAACTTCACTCACAATAGGAATCTTAGTAAACAAACCATTAATGAAAACATTGAGGGAAATGTATGTTTCTCCTAGAAACTCAAAAGTTTCCCTATGGATATAATCCCATACTAGTAACTCATAAGTTGATCACCAAATATTTTAGCTAACAATTGTGACTGATTGCCAGGGATACAACTCAGCAGTAGAGTGATGGCCTGGCATGCACAAGGCTCTGGATCCCAAACCCAATATCCTGTTAACAAATAAATAAAAAACAAATGACTATTATTGGATGAACTACTAATTTGGATGGTATTTTCTTAGGGCTTACTGTTATATGTACCTTTAGATATTCTAGAAACAGTAAAATAGTAAAGCTTCTTTGAATATAATTATATTGTATAATTGATAAATTGAATGGACAGTATTAAATTGAGATTAAAAACAAGAGTTCATTTTGGACTGGAATAATGTTTCTTGTTTTAAAATTTTAGGAATGTCAATTTAAAAAGTGCTGTGATTATAAAACATGCAAACTGAAAAACTCAGCAAAATGTGGTTCAGGACCATGTTGCACATCCGATTGTGAGGTATGTGGCCAGTGTTTATGCACAGGAAATTGAACTGTGATGATAGAAGTCTGCATTAACTGAATCAATGTGGAACTGTGACATAAAATACAGAGTGTGTAAGCAAACACAAGAATATAAAGAAAATTGCTATGAAACAAGGAAGGCACTTCAAACTGTGATTATCTATTGGGTTGAAACCACAAAGTTATCAAAGAGGAGAAAACAATACATATTACTATATCAAAAATATTGATACTCAAATAAATCCTGAAGTCAAATAAATGATATATGACTAATTATGAAAAATTATGACATGAGTAGCAGACAGAAATTTATTGTTGCAGAATATGCAAAGAGGCAAGCAATAGTTATTGTGTTAAACAGTTACATTAATTATTATACATTGTTCAAAAGTTAGAAGATTGGGTTAGAACACATGCACTTAAATAACATTATTTCCCATACAATATATTTGGATAAGAAACTAAGATTCCAATTCTGATAAATCACTTATACATAAATATTTCATGTATTCTTTTTGCTCAATATTTTTATTAAAGTCTAATTTAATGAAGTAAAATTCTGTTGGTGAGGGTTTCTGAGGTTATAGACAGATGTGTTCCAGCTTGTAAGTGGCACTAGAGTCAGGACAGGTGATTCCATTCCTCTCCTCCCCACACACCCTCTTGGAGGTCAGTCCACCTCCAACCACAGCTCCTGGAAACCATCCATCTGTTTTCAGCTCCTATAACTTTGCTTTAAAAAACATAAATCAAATCATACAATATAGGTAAACATGCTAATTAGACATCTTAGCGTACTTGTAAAATTCATTCCTTTTGTGTGGCTGAATAGTACTGAAAGTATTAAGATGACAAGCCACAGTTTTTTAATCCACTCCCCAATTGAGGGACATTTGGATCATTTTCAGGTTGGGGTGATGAAAATGTACCTACCATAAACACTGTTCATGACGAGATTGTGTGTGAGCGTAGTGCTTCATTTCTCTTAGCTAAATACTTGGGCTGCTGGTTCATAGAAAGTTCCCATGGAACTTTATGGGAAATTGAAAACATAGTTTTCAAAACAGATGTACGACTTTGAATTCCCACCATTCCATTTATGAGACTTATAGTTGCTTTCAAGTTAAATGTAAACTCTAAAACTATACAATGTGTGGCTTAATTTTATCATCACTATTGGTTTGTTACTTCTACATTTTAAAAATAATTTTACTGGTTTCCCTGGAGCTGAGAGTCTTTGATTAATTAGAGACTAATTTCACACAATGCATCACGTTGTGTGAATGTTATAAGGGAGCACAATACAAAACCAAAATGCATTATTACTATTTTTGCTTATCTTTGCTCTTTATCTTTTATATCAAGCAAATCAAGAAAAAATAATTCTATAATTAGTACCATTTATCCCATTTCCAGCTTTATTTCTTTTTGATTATATCTATTTAGTATTATATTTCTTACACCTGAAAAGCTTCCTGTTATATGTATTTTAGTTTAGATCTGCTGAAAATGAACTCCTTGGTTATTATATGTCTAGGAAAAAACCTTATTTCTCATTTATTTTTGAAAGATATATTTGCATGGTATGGGATTCTAAGTTGAAAGTTATTTTTCTTTCATTACTTTTTAAATGCCACTTTATTTATTACATGTCTTTGATGTATTAACTATAAACTCAATCAAAGTAGATTATGCTGTGTGTGTACGTAATTTCAACATATATGGCAAGTGAGCATTTGGATGCAGTGGACTTCACTACTTAAGGCAATGGATAAGCAATCTTTTCAGTCAGTCACAAAAATTTGCTAGCAACTGTCCTCTTTATATGAACATGCAGGGAAACTTATGTTCTCTTACAATAATAAATATTATGGTGGAGTTGGCAATAAGTATTACTTACAGTGTTACCAAGTATTTTTCTAGGCACTTTTTCAGGCATAGTGGGGTTTGAATTCAGGGCCTTGTTCTGGCAGGTCTTCTACCACTTGAACCACATCCCCAGACCTCTAAGCACTTTTTTCCATTAAATGAACACTACTAAGAACCCTATGAGAATATGATTATTACCTCAAGTTTACAAATGTAAAATGGAGACAAACAAGCTAGTAAGAGTCAAAGTCAGGCACTGATACCAGGTAGACTGGCTCCTGGGACTCTCTGAGAACAAAAGGTAGAGATAGTGATCCTTCAATTTCAAGGAACAGGTGTGTTTTAACTGATCTGTTCAGTCTCTCTTCAAATGTTGGGTCAAACAGCCTCATCTTATAGGTCACAAAGCAGGTGGGCAGTTGCAAACTTGCTATCAGAAGGGATTTGTTCAAATCTTTAAGAGATTTACTTTTCTATGGGCTGTTCAGTGGATGCTTTATCTGATTTTTCCTTTGGCAAACTCTCAGCCTTAGAAACTGTTTTATTCCCTCAATGGTTAATAGCCAGATGCATTTTATTTGATAATCTTCTCAGTGAGTAATGGAGAAGAGTCATTTACAGAAAACTATTCCCTTCTTCTTGTTCCTCTTAGATATCAGTAGCAGGCACTCCATGTAGGCAGAGTCTTGACCAGGAGTGTGATTTCACAGAGTATTGCAACGGAACGTCTAGTGACTGTGCTCCTGACACTTACGCATTGAATGGCCATTTGTGCAGGTTGGGTTCTGCATATTGTTATAACGGGCGATGCCAAACTACCGATAACCAGTGTGTGGAGGTATTTGGAAAAGGTATTGCCCCTTCTTTTGTATTTCTTTTACCTTAGAATTGGATACCCCTACAGTTTATAACAACATACCTATATGGTATAGGAATGGAAGAACCTGGGTCACAAGTTTAATAAAGATTAAATTTGAATTAAAGAAGGTAAGTTTTTGTAGGAGGGTTTGAGATTTTCCAAGACAAGTTCTATTATACATTTCTTTTCTCATGATTTGAATTTTGGTTTTGGTGGCTAGCTACCTGGGAAAAAATTCCATTGTTTCTAGCTCATAACATATATGTAATTAGAATGACAAATCAGTAAATCCTGAAATCTTACTTATTTCCTTTTACTCCCCACGTTTGTAATCTAATTCTAATGAAAAGAGATTTACGAAAGCTGAGAATGAATTTTATTTATGTGTAATCATATTTTCCAACTGAAGAGTTCCTTTTACATGGATAAGAGTAGTCATAGACCACCTGGTCAAAATTCATGTATTTATTTTCTTTTCAGACAGCTTTTCAAGGTAATTCAAATAAGATTCCTGCCTTTGAGTGAATCCTAGTGGATTTTGTATTTTTAGAGGGATTAAAATAATTTAAATACATCAGAATTACACAATGAAATGTATTTGAATGCAAGCACTTGCTAAGTGAATGAAGGTAATATAACACACAATAATCTAAGGAGGATTGTTTCTACCAAATGATATGTATTGGTCTGCATTATCTTTCTAATTATTTGAAACTTGACTTTAGTAACAAATTTCAGATTAGATGATTTAACCCAAATTTTACCAGGTTGCACAGGTATGGTTTCCTAAATCACAGATCAGTGCTACTTTCTGTATGCTATGTTTTCAGGATGCTACTTTTTTGTGAGGTTTTGTGTGTGTGTGTGTTTGTAATGGTTATTTGTTTTAAAATATTTATTATCAAAGTAATTAAATCATGGTTTAACACATCTCTTAAGAACCAAATCAAATAATTCTCTGTGCAAGGAGAATGTAGAATGTACTCTTCCTTTTTTTAAAAACTAAAAGTATAAACCTTTAGCTGGGTATGGAAGACCATGCCTGTATCCAACACTGAGAGGATGAGGCAGGAGGAGTGTGAGTTTGAGGTCAGCCTGGGCTACAGAGTGAGACCTTGTCTCAAAAGTAAGGAAGTAAGTAAATAAATAAATAAATAAACCAGCAGCCCAGAACTGAGTTACTATCACTTGATATCTTTTTCAGCTATAATTGAAATAGTAAAGAATTAACAGGTTACAGGTTTTCTTCCTCTAATATACACTCTAGTGTCCTTATGAAATCGATATAAAAAGGGTCAAAAATGTATCCTCTGATGTTCACTCATTCACTCACTTGGCTTTATTTTTCTTCTTTTAATTTTTTTGTTTATTTTTGAGACAGCCTTTCACTATGTAGCCAATGGGATCTTCCTGGCTCCACCTCCTTAGTGCTGAATTATAACACAGTGCTATACAAGTGTTTGTTGGGTAGGTTTCCCAGTTTTACTCCTCTGCTTCCTCTTGCTTCCTCCCCTTCACTTCCAGGTATTCTGATCACTGAAAGTTTTTACATCATGCCTCACTCTGATGCAAGGCTTCTGGAGACACCAGTCACTAACAGTTGGTACCGAGAGTGGTGTGAGCATATCTACAAGATGAGCTTTCACATCAATCATTTGCCAAGCTGTCAATGTGCTGTAATTCATGTAGTCTCTGATCATAAGACATCTAGATTCTTTGTATCTCGTGGAAGACTCCAGGTAGGACACATGGATGCATTAAGGGAGATACTGGGGCTTATTATAGGTGAAGGGAAAGGGATCTGAAGAGTGGTGTGATCTCTGTCAGGTTGAAAGCAGGGAGCAGAGAAAGAGAGAAGGCTCTCTAACTCAAAGCATTTTAAACTGCCAGTAACCTGTGTGAGGGGAAGGGTTTGAGAGGTCCCTGAACTAGTGCGATGGATTACACTGTGCATATTTTCATGCTAACTTTTAGGTACCCTAACTTCATGTGGTGGCAATTTCCATAGTTTTTAATGCCTATCTCTGTCTGCAGCTAGCACAGAAATTGCTAGCTGCATACAGAGAGTAAGAGAGCTGTTTCAACTGAAATGCCCTGCATTAATTTAGACAGGTTTAAGAGTTCTAATCTTTCCATATTTCTAACCTGCCTCAACTTCCCCCTGTGGGATAATATCCTCAAAAATTCACTTCTGGGAGTGCTGAGAGAAGTAGTTCTGTCTTCTATATCTGCTTCAAAGCTGGCAAGGGACTGCAGACCCTGCCTAATAGGGAGATTGTCCCCCTACCACTATCCCCTAGAACACATTTAGTCATCAGACTGCATCTGTTTCTAAATCTTTGTCCAACCCAATCAAGGCTGTTCATGGGGACCTTGTTCACCTGTTGCACCATAATTTGGATCCTAAAGGCTGCCATCCTAGAAGAGATAAACCTGGCTAACAAGTTTAGCAGGTGTGACCTAAACATGAGCACTGATGGAAGCATCAGAAGGAGCTCTGACAGAGGCAGCAACCAGTGTGCACAATTTTAAGTCTTAAACCATGAAAACACCGTACTTTCTCTAGGAAAAGGCAAAGTCCATCATTTTCAGCTATCAGAGGTTCTAATTTTCTCCTACTTTGAAAAGTGACAACTATCAGAGTCTATTTGACTAAAAATTATGACCATAGTTTTTGTAACATTTTAGGCTGTCAGTAAAGTCCTTATATGACTTTAGGTAATATGAGAGGAAGGTGGTTACTTTTCCTACAGGTGCCTATGCCTGCAGCTGTCCCTACCCCAGTTAGGAGGGGAATAAATTGAATGGCCTTTTTGGTCCAAGATCCTGCTATAAATGGGGCAGGTAAGGACTAATGGTTTGGGGGCAATATCTACATTAGGAAAAAGGTGTTCTAGGGAGCAGGTGCCAGTCCAGTTACAGGATAAACATCCATAGGAGTCAAGCCTACAAGGAAAGAAGATTCCCAGTGTCTCTGAGCAAAATTTAAACACCATTACAAAGCAGAATACAGGAGGGAGTAACAACTCCATGAGTGTGAACTGTTAAAAGGAAATATCTGGAAACAGTCATATTGCCTCTGCTTAAGCAGAAGGCCCTGGCCAAAGACGTGAGTTTGCCTTTTGCTAGAAGCCTGGAAGACTTTAATTCCAGATAGCCCAATGCTTAAGAACCCTTCTTTAAACCTCTCAACTTTGGTTATTTAGAGGTCTGGCACAAGTGACTCCATTTAGATACAGAGGAGGTTCCCTCTTTTGTGTAGTCCTTTTAAACTGTAGTCCTATTAAACTGTTTCTCTGAACAGTTGCTTCTGAAGATTGTGTCAACTGGGCATTTTAGCCATGTCACCAGGACTAGCTTTATCCCAGAAAGTCTGATCTGGTCCCAGTTGTAGGGAAAGTAGCACAAGAGACAGGTCAGGTAGAAGTTGGTGTCAACGAGAACTTTTGGGCCAAATTTAAACAACAAAGAGGTTTAAAAGGAGTGCCTCTTAGGCTGGGCTTCCTGTAGTCCATTTTTAAGTCTAATTTTGACTGTCCTATAGATGATGTCCTGGCATCTTAAAAACATTGCAAAATATCAACAGACAAGGGTTATAAAGTTTTACAAGGAAAGTACAAACAATGGTAGATAAGTACTTGTCAGAGTCATTTTCCATGGGCTTCTCTTGAAATGCTCTAGAAAGATGAGAGCTGCAATAACAAACTTAAAATAACAATGGTTAAAAATTTTGAAGAAAAGTTTAGCAATTGACAGAACAGTCCAATTACTTCCTTTGTATACAGCATCACATCAGCATCATTAAGCCTTTTTCATTACACTTAGGAACATATGCACAAACTTGCTAACGGCTAATATCACTAACACTTTTAATTTGGGAGACACCAGCTTGGTACAGCATCTTTTTACAACTTTGCATTTTAGAAGGTTTGCATACTTAGAGAAGAAACATACATCTAACATACAAAGGAGCCAGCAATAGTTAGCACTACAGTTTGAGCCCTGACTTTCAGTTTGATAAGTAACAGAGAATACTGACAAAAGTCAAAACCCCAGATTTCCCCCTCAGTTAGGAGAAGGCAGTGTCAGTAATCCAAAATAGTCCCTATTTTAAAAACTGAATTGCATATTATATATCTATAACAATGTGTATCTAGCCAATACAAACAGATGTCAGAACTGCCTAAGTGGCAGGCCTCTTAGTATTGACCATAAATAGCAGAAAAGTCAAAGGTCCTATTGACCATTTTTATGTGTAGGAGGTTTAGATACAATGCACCTTAGATAAAGGAGAACATGATCTATCTATTTTACACATGCTAAACTTATATACTTTTAATTCTGTAAATGTTTGTACAACATTTAGATAGTTTAAATATATCTCCACAAATCTTTACTTATAGACACATATAAGGTACTATATATAAGTTAAAGAATACTTGTTCAGCCACAGTTATGAAGTGGTCATTTTTGTTTTGTTTTCTTAAAAGAACACTTAAAATTTTTTTACTTAGTGAAACACAATTTCCTTAGTCATCTGTTACCATTTATCAGCTGGTCCTGGGTGACCAGAGCTATAAAAGATGAGGGGAATACCGAGTCTTGCTCAATAGCCACTTTAATGAAGATCATTTCTGCTTTTTATAAACTCCTTTTTCACAGAGAGCATTTGGCCAAGTATTATTTATGTGTCAAGGTTACATTAGTACAAGGAAGCATAGTTAAAATTAACTCTTTGTTATGTCTCTTTTAAAACAGAGAAGCAGGAGAAGCACATGGTCAGCATAACCTTCTTATTTACATCTAAAGAACATGAAGACATCTGGGGAACCTTGAGCACTGTTGTTTTTCTGGATGTCTGTTTCTGAGATTTTTGCCTCAGTTCCTTAGAGCTTTCTAACAAGGCCAGATACCAAATCACATAGGCACAGTCCCACTGCTGGCTCCAACAGTCGTCAAGAACCTAAAAAAAAAATTAATAGAGTGCAAAGC